TCAACCAAGGCAAACTCCTCTATTGTCCTGATTTCCTCTGATGCTGTTAATAAAACTTGTGTTGCAGGGAGCAGCTTTCCCAGCAGCAGCTGAAGCCATCCCAGATAAAACAGCAAAATTGAGGGGACTTGATATTTGCCTCCCCAGGGATCTGGGCAGGCTGTGGGATGCTCCAGCCTAGGATCTTTGGAAGCTTGCTCCTAAATAAATCCTCTTTTATCTATGTGCAATAGCTGCCCCTTTTGCCCAGCTTTCAGAGACTCCAAAGGCTTCAGCTTTGCACATGAAAGATTTTCCTCTGACTGCAGGCTTGGGGAAGGAGCAACTCTTACCATTACTTTCATTTTCATCTTTTTTTTTTACAAAAATATATTTTTAGGGGATTTTGTAGTGTTATAGCTCCTATTTGCTCTGGGAAATGTTCAGCTGGGCTTGTGTCCTTACTTTACCTGGCAGCAAACATCCCAGCCCAGCATCCTTGGGGCTGGATTCTGCAGTCAGGTCTGGTTTTTTAAAATTAAATCTGGTGATTTTGAGTCACAGCTGGAGCCATATCTCAGCGTAGTGAAGGGTATTCCCACCACACTGAGATATGGCTTGAATGGGATATGGTGCAAGCATGAGCAAAAGCAAGCAGCTAACGAGGATGTGTCTATTTAGCATTGCTGCTGTGCCTTTCCCCCTGCCAAATTGATGCTCCTTTTCCTGGATCGCTAAGCCATCCCTCAGCCTGGCTGCATCCAAAGGGGAATGGTGGCCCAGGAGCAGAGTTTCCAGCCAGCATCCCTCACCGCCCAAGGATGCGGATTGGCATTGCTGCTGGGAAGTGCAGTTGTCCCGGGGTGATGCTCAACCTCACTGGCAGCAGGAAAAATTGCTTCTCACCTGTGATCTCGTTCTCTTCCAGGTCAATGGTCTCCAGTGTGGTGATGGTGGCCAAGGGCTCAGGGAAACGCCGAAATCTGTTGCGGGAGAGGTTGATGGTCTGGAGGTGCAGCAGGGAAGTGACCTCCTCAGGCAGGCGGTGCAGATAGTTGCCTGCCAGGTTGAGCTCTGTGGTTTGAGTGAGAGAGGTGATGGGATGGGGAGGAAAAAAAATGGTAAAATAATTAATGCATAGCTTAATTTACAGCCTTTATCTCCCATGGGCTGCCAGGTCTAGCAGTGGGCTTCCAGCTCCAAAAATGGTGTTTTGTTTTGGTTTTTTTTTCTGCTGATCTCCATGGTTTGCCATCGTACTTTCGCCTGCTGTGAATACAGCTTTTAAGAGTGATATGTTTCCTGGCTTCCTCAGGCTTTCCTGATGAATCCCATGCAGTGTTTTGCAAGCAGGGGCTGTAGAAATAAGCAATATTTCTTAGTAAAGTTGATGCAATTCCCCCCTGATGGATGTTTGTCATGGTTTAAGGCTAGATTTCTATCTTCATGTGCCTGAACCCCTTCAGAGGTATAAACAAGAGTGGTGGAAGAAATGTATTTATGTGCAAAAAATATCTATTCTACCTCGTTTAACCTTCTATGATGCTTTCCTCTCCCTCCAGAAATGAGCTCCTGTGGGGCCAGGAGCAGGACTCCTGCATGAAAGGCCTTTAGCCATGGGAACAGGAACCAAACCCTGCTGTCCCAGTGCCCTTCTCCAGTGACACAGGGCTTTCTGCTCTATAAATACCCATGCAAGCTGTCCTGCCCCTGCTAATACCTGGTATTTATAAGTCCTGCCTTATTCAGGCTGGTGCAAGGCTGTCCCCAGCCCCAGGGCATCTCTTCCCTGCTGAGGCCTGGCATGTTCATCACTGGAGTGATTTGTTCACTGGTGGAGAAAAGCCCTTGCTGGGAAATGGGATTTTTTTTCCACCCTCAGGGCTTGCTATGTTGTCTAAAAAATGGAAGTTGATTTCCTTTGCTCGATGGGCTTCTTTTTGCTAGCCTAGAGGAGTTTTCACAGATGATGTATCAGTACAACACAAGGAGCCTCCCCAGAAACCCACCATGGTAGCACTCATGCAATACATTGTATGAGCAAAATATTGGCTTTTAAAAGCTGCCAGAGGGTTCAAAACCACAGCACTGGGTGCTTGGGATACTTGCATGCCCATGTTTTTGCAGATTACCTTCTGTCTGCTTTCACTGGGCTCCAGCCATGAACTGATGACCGTCCCTGTCTTCTGCAGTGAGTGGAGGGTGAGCAACTATCATTGATGTTGGATGATGGGGGCTAATTAACCAGCAGCAAGCCAGCATGCCTTCTGCAGCCTGAAATGCCACATCTCTGCCATGCCGCGCTGTGCCCAAGCTGCCTTTCCTGTCCCCTTTCATCCCCAGTTCCATCCTTGGAGGGAGCTGGAGGGTGATGAGTGACCCTGGAGCAGCCTGGCCATGGCCAAAAGTGGCTGGAAGGTGGCAGAGCATGAGTTTGGGAGTGTGGGTGAGAGCAAAACCAGTGTCCTCTTTCTGCAAGGGCCAGAAAGGTAAAGAATTTTTTGGAGGGAGGTCTGAACGAGAGCTTGGAATGAGGTGTGAGTGTAGAGGAGCAAAATCTACAGTCGGGAAACTCTCAGGTGCTGTGTCCTCTCTGCAGCAACCTGGGGGTTCCTTGCTGGGTCCCAGGGGTTTGGAAGTGGCAGGGCTGTCTCTTACCTCTCAGCTGGCTGAAGGTGGTGACGAATCGGCTGGTGATGGACTTAAGCTCGTTGTTTGCCAGGGAAATGCGGTGGATCCCCTCAGTGACGGTCCTCATGGCTTTGTAGATGCCAACAGGGAAGGTCATCAGCTTGCAGTTGGCCAGATCTGTCCCCAGAGAGACCCAAGCACCTTATAATGCACCCAGCTGGGATGGAGCAAGGCTTTCCATCTTGTTTTCCATCCCTTAATGCTCAATTTGCTTGTCTGGGTGCTGCCACCCATGGGTGCACCCATACTACTCTCCATTGCAGGGATCTGTGCAATTGCCTCCCCAAACACTGATAGTTTGTTCCCATCAGCAAGGCTAAGCTTGTTCTACCTTAGATGTGTTCAACCCCAAATTGCATTGCACATATGACCACGCTGCAATCTCCTTCTACAAACCTTCAGCCAGCCTGTCCATGTCAAATAACTTCACAACTTCAGGAATCTAGCTTTCCTATGTCCCTAAATCCCTGGGGAAGCTCGAGTAGCAGAGGGATGCTCTCCCCACAGCTGATGGGGATGGAGCAGGGCTTTCCCTGGGCATGCTCCTGGCTGGGTTTCTCTTGGTGAAGGGCAGCAGGGAGGGAATAGGATGACTTTTTGCTGACTGCCGAGTGATTTGCCTGCACTTCTCACCTGTTGGTATTTTTATTTTGCTCTGAATTTTCTGTTTCCCTTCCTGGGACATGCCAGGGGATGGCAACCCAGTATCCCAGCCTGGGCTCTGCTGTCTTTCCCCTCCCCAAAGCTGTGGTGGGGGCTGCACAAGCTCCCTCTGTCCCCCTTGTCACCTCACTCAGGCGGATGTCGAGAGGCTGAGCGATGAAGCGCCGACTCTCTGTGTGTGCTGGTTTATACCGCAGGGCCGGGAATCCAGCATGAATAAAAATAAGCAGCTTTCATCTCTCTTTTGTTGAGCCACGTGTGGCTCTCAGATATTAGCTAGAAACAGGGAGACAGCAGAAAACCACGAATCTGACAAGAAAACGTGGGGAGAGGTCTGGCTGCTGCCATTGCTTTCTAAGGGGGACTATCTCTGGGGGGGTGCTGGTTTATACCGCAGGGCCGGGAATCCAGCATGAATAAAAATAAGCAGCTTTCATCTCTCTTTTGTTGAGCCACGTGTGGCTCTCAGATATTAGCTAGAAACAGGGAGACAGCAGAAAACCACGAATCTGACAAGAAAACGTGGGGAGAGGTCTGGCTGCTGCCATTGCTTTCTAAGGGGGACTATCTCTGGGGGGGGGGAGGACAGCTTTTTTCAGACCATGCCAGCAATAAATAGATCCCTGCTCCTGGACACCCGATCCTTCTCTGGGCCCCAAGTGGGAGCCGAGCCGGAGCACCGGGCTTACCCAGGGAATCCGTTTTGTTCTCCACCGTGTCGTTCACCTTCCGGGCCACCCGTGCCACCGCCTCGCCCATCCTCTTCTGCATGCGGGCCCCCGGTCCCGCCGGGGACGTGCTTTGGCTGGGGGGATCCACGGCTGGGGGGGGAAATCAGCC